CCGCAGTTTCAAAGAGAAATGTCCACTGAGTGGCGCTAAAACACGGGTTCAATACGTCAAACCTGGCACGTTTTTATTACGTTGATAAAGGTACGTATTGCTGTGTTTTTATTGCGTTTCTTCAGGTACGTATTGCGGCGATTCAGAATTCAAATATCTGGGGACTGTCGCTAAAAGTTAATGCTCTGTCGTGTTGGAAATATGCCCTACACCAAACCCAACCCTAAACCTACCCGATAGTGTTAACAAATGCAAAACTGATATAAAAACACATTTTTTGATGCAACCGTGCCATTTTAACTTCCTAATATGCAGATTTGAACTGTTTTGTCGAACCGTAGTTACACGGGATTCAAACCGGAGATCCTCACCTCTTAAGTACGTCTCCGTACTCCGTGAGCTACCGAACAAACCTATCGTCTATGAAAACCCATTAATATGAAGCTGGATATGTGCGGTGCTAACATTCAAAAGCATCAGTTTTCAAATCTCCCAGCATATTAAAAATGTTTTGAAGTCACAACATAATACTCTTCAAGTAATTGTGCGAAAATTACGCTTTATTAATCGAAACTCTGTAAATCATACTTGTGTGAAAATAATTTAAAAGGTGTCGGAGTTTTACTGCCTCTAGTGTTCATTTCTTTTGGAAACTGCAGTGATATGTACTTATTGTTACGTATTTCGCGTCTCGCGAAAAAGTGCCCCCAGGTACATTTTTGCCATGAGACCGGGTAGTAAAAAGTATATATCGTCTTTCTAAATCATTCCCAAACATAAGATTGTTGTTTAGGCCATACATACCACGTAATATTAGAATAAGTACCTCTTAGTTTCAAAATACTTACAGTATAAATGATTTGTAATTTTACAGGTTGTTATCCCTTTATTCCCCAAACTTTGCATACTATTCCCTTATACCTACACGGAGGTACTGAATAGGTACACTATAATTACAAAAAAGTTACGCTGTAACTTCAGTTTACTTACGCAGTTCTTTGCAAGTTGCATATCTGGTTGTTACCCCCTTATTACCCAAATGCAACACATTGTTCCCTTATACCTACACGTACGCTCTTTATAGGTACACTATAATTACAGAAACGTACACCATAAATTCAGTATACTTACGTAGTTTTTGCGGGTTGTAATCTAAAGCGTTACCAATAGTTTTTCTTGTTTGTTGGTTTGTGTTTTTTCTGCAACTGCTAAAATGGGTTTATAACAAACACATGGCATTCTCTTTCAAATCCAATCATTAAAAAGTCATTATGAACCCTTTAAAGAGCTGTGATGTTCCCTCCGTCTGATGTAGCTCACATCTGATGGTCTCCTTTGATGCGTATAAAACAGAGGCCAAGAGCGGAGGAGATGGTGAAGAAGAAGAAAAAAAAAAAAAAAACAGGGTCAGGCTCTAGTTAACAAGACAAATGGAGCAACATGGTTCAGCTCATAACCGGGTTTGACCTACTGGTCCTCCCAATAGCTCAATGTCTTACATGGCAAA